AGAGCCTCTTCATACCCTTCCAGCTTCTCTGTGTATTGATTGCTTAAAAGTAAGAGAGCCTTTAGATAATAAATTAGCCCTTCTTTCTCTTCAGTCCTGAGGGCACAGGAAGGACAGTCCTTGTAGAATCATGGCAAAATGACACCAGACTCACCATGAGAAAGTAAACAGTTTTGAGTGTAGAATGCTGAATCTGCCTCACACTCCTGGTGCCCTGGTTCCTTGACCCCTCAGATCTCATGCCGACTGTCGGACATAGTCCTAGTCTTTCTCTTGCCACAGAATCACACGCTAACAGCACTCACGTACTCTTATAGATGCGGATTGATTGGGTATGTTTTGTGCTTCACGTGACACAGGTTGGGATGCTGCAAGGTCCAAAAGGCCTTATTCATCCAGCGGGAAAGTGGTGCTGACCACCAGCTGGGAGCTCAGTGGGACTGACAGCAGAGACCCTGGTCCTCCTCCATGTGGACCTGTCCACGTGGCTCCTCAGGCTTCCTCACAGCATGGCCTCTGGGTTCCAAAAAGGAGGAAATAGGAAGCCCCCAGTCCTCTTCTGGCCTCAGAAGACCTAGAATGCCACTTATGCCCTATTCTGTTGATCAGAGCAGTCAGAGGACCATCCCAGAACTACAGGGGGAAGAATTACACTCTACTTTTGGGTGGAGGAGTGGCATGCATGTACAGAGACAGGGGGAGTTGATGGCAGCCATCTGTGGAGACCACCACACAGACAATTTCATCCCACTTCTGAATAGGTTAAGAAAAAGCAAAAGAAAGCTTTCACAATTGCTCTACGCTATAATAGTTCTGTAAATTCCAAATCAACACAATACAACTCTTTCTGTAACATTTTTGTCTTACGTAAGTAGTCTTTTTAATTTAGTTCTTAGAACTAAAAGCATTGTACAGTTTCTTTGACTTAATTGTATTATTTTGAGGCAAATAAAGCATTTAAAACATTACTAAGTAAAATGTTACTTTTTTTTTAGTGTTACTATTCCCATCAATAATTTGTTAAACAGAAATAATTTAAGGATTTATGCTGAAAGTAAATAAACTTAGACTCAAAAATGAATCTTTAAAGGCAACAGAAGTTGCCTGAAAAGCTGACTTTAAAAGAGAAATACATATTATTATATCCACTAAATGATTACCAAGAATAACAGCTAAATATTTAACATTTTAGTCACACTTCAAGACTGAAAAAAAAAACTCTTTGAGCTAACATAATGCAGTGTAAAAAGAAAAAAAAACGATGGCAAAGAAGAAAGAAATACCAAGTAAAAGTCTAGTAGGAAAAAAATGAGTCCAAAATTGGTAAAATATGGCAAAATTGGTAAATATGGTAAAATTCAGAGAGAATCTTAGTGTCAAAAATAATTGAAGAATGTTTACCCATTAGAAGATCACTGTTTTATTTACTCAAAATGAAATATGGATATAACATATGTCAACTCCCAAATCTGTTGAATTAAATATTCCCAGAAATCTACTTAAGAAATTAAAAAGATTCTGAACTATTTGTCTTATTTATTAGTGTTACAGTCTGACACTGCACATTTCCAATTGGAAGAAAACTAAAAACCCACGTACGAAGGTGCCAGACTGAGAAACATATGGCACTTTCCAATAACCAAAGCCTGGGTATTTGTAGGTGGTGAAAATCTATTTGGGGGCCTCCTTATAGCATGATGAGAAAAAGCATCATATGTTTACTTTCAGGAGTTTCAGTGAGAGGAAATTTTAGATTTATTTACAGCATAGAGAAAAAAGTATTACCTTTATTCATGAAATGTGGGGATCTTATGGAGTCTGGAGAGAATTCTTTTAATACATTTCTTTGGAAAGGGTTGGCAGCTTAGAGAAAAACTTTGTGGGGTTTTTAAATATTTAATATCCCACTGCTGCTCTGCAGCTTCAGAAAATACTTGTGGTTTTTTATTGGCAAATATTTCAGAGCTTATCTCAACTGGTATGAAATTAAAAAAAAAATGTTTAATATTTCTAAACTGTAAAGCTAGATGAAAAAAATAACAGCATAGGACAACAAGGTAATTCTTTGCAAAATTAAAAACTAAATAGTAAAATTTCAAAATCATAGATTTTTCACAGCTAGATAAAAATGTTCTTGTTATTGGGGTTTTAATTCATTATCTTTTAATTAATATTTATTGGTTATCCACTGTACCTGAACTATTTGAATTAAAAGAGTTGGGGTGAGTCAAATAATTATGTGGTCTCTGTTCTTAAGAGTGAATAATTTAGTAGATAGACACAGCTATCAGACAAAAGATAAAGTGATGGGCCTTGTTGTCTTGGGGGGATTCAGTACTATGAGGATGGAGACAGAGCTAATTATAATACGGTGATTGTAGAAATATTTTTAAAAATCTGCTGGAAAGTCTCTCTTAATGGAATTACTACAGATCTTGAATCACATATATTATTAACCTCATAAAGTTAGGTCACTAATAAAATCACGTGTATTGCCTGGACGATGCAGCATATTATTTATTTATTTTTGATCCTTTATACACATATATGAATATTAAATTATTTATTACATAACCCTCATCTACTGTCAGAAAGGATTGTCAAGACAACTGTGATAAAAGGCACAATATAGGGGAATTTCTTAGTTATAATGCATTTTTTAAAGTTAAATATTCAGTTCCATAGTTCAATAATGGCAGTGGTTAGTAGTAAAGGTTTTGCAGCCAGAGTATCTGGGCTTTAATCCTTATTCTTCTATTTAACAGCTGTGTCCAACAGGCCTTTGGCAACTTAATTAAACTCACCATGGCTCAAATTCCTCATCTTTAGAGATATACCATATTTTATCTAAGATGCTTTTGATTGTAAGACACACCATTATTTTAGGTAGTACTATAAAAGCTTCCAACACAGGAAGTTGAAAAGAAGACCCTGTGTAAAGTGGATATACCAAAGGGCTATGACCTCATTGTGAGAGACATGAGAAAAAGATCTGACACACAGAAAGATACCAAAAAACTTACATGCCTCCACCTTGGCACAGAGTAGAGACAGGAGAAAAATATGTCCCCTACTATATGAACAAGAAGCCAGTATCCATGGAGTTCGGTAGGTGGAATTAACACTATCAGTATGGTCTGAAAAATCTCAAAAGAGAATTAAATTGAAAGTGGCCTTAAGTTGGTCCTGCTCCAGGTGACTGGCAGAAACAAACACAAATTGTCTCTGGAAGAATTTGATGGACATCCAGGCTGAAGCCACTCTAAGGCAGCATTGATTATAAGACCAATTTCAGAGATGTTACAAATGCAGGACAAAAAGGTGTGTGGTAGATTGATTGCAAATATGGCCCCAATTCTTCCATTCCCCTCATTCACATCCTTTGCAACATGACTTTGCACCTCTTCCCATCAAGAAGTCTATTTCCCCAACACTTGAAGCTGTGCTTGCCTCAAGTCTTGTTAGGCCAACACAGTATGACAGACATATGGTGTGCCTGTTGCTAACCTAGGCTTAGGAGGCCTTGCACACTTTCACTTGGTCCTTGAACTCTTCCATTTCCAGGAAAATAACCCCCTGCTAAACTTTGGGAAGCTAAGAGACCACGTGGAACACCGCCAATTCATCTTAACCAAGGTCTTGCTAGATCACCCAGCCCCCAGCCTACCCACCAGCTGACCACAGATGCATGAGCAAGCTTATGTGAGATCACCTGAGCCCACCAAGATCAGCAAAACCACCCTATAGGCTTGTGAGCAAGAATATTATTTTAGGTCATTATGTCTTGGGGAGTTTTGTTATACAATAATAGCTAACTGAACAAGATCTATCCTAAATCGATGAAATAGAGTACTAGCACCCACCTTATGGGGCTATGGTAAAGAATTAATTGATTTAATACCTGTAAGGTACTTAGAATAATACTTCATACATGGTAAGTCTAAAGAAATGCTGTCTAAATTATTTACTGAGGTGTTACCATATTCAACAGAGATTCCTTTTTCTCCAACTTTATTCACACATAAAATGGGAGTTCTGATTTGCAGAATGATTGCGAAGATCAAATACAAGTATAAATATTTTATGACTATAAGATACAAAATGAAATGTGATTATACCTACAATTACATATAAATAAATATCTAAAATACAAGAATTTATAGGTCCAAAGTGGTGTAAATGTGTTAAGTCAATGCAAAAAAGCAAATGATGAATTCTGTCTGGGAGACTCAGAGATGGCTTTACAGAGGAGGAGGCATTTGAATCGAACACAGAATAGGAAGGATTTGGTAAGGTAAAGGGTTATTATAGAGCAGAGAATAGAAAGAAGGCATTCTAGATTAAAGAAACTGCATGTGCCAAGATCCAAAGATATGAAAGTGATTGTTATACTGCGGACTTTCTGTGTCTGATGTGACTAGATTATACAATATAAGAAGAAAAATGGGTAGATAATGATCCAGGAAGTAAGTTGAAAAGCTAGTCATGTATCTGGTTAAGCAAAAATGGTTTTCTTCTTTAGGCAATGGATGTCACCAGAGGTTTCTAAGGCCAGTAATATGACAAAATCTGTATTTTAGAAATTCTGGTAGCAATGTAGAGGAAAGATCAGAGAGAGGGAAGTAAACACAATCATCTAGGTGAAAAATGATCAGGGTTTGATCTAAGGTCTGTTGAAGTTAAAGAACCAGAGATACATTTGAAAGACACATTGGAGGACAGCTAAAATTCTTAAGTGCCCTACTATGCAGCGAGTCCTGAGCTAATTGCTCTCACACGCATTACTGCACAGAAATTTTTTGAATGCCTTATGAAGCTTGAACAGCATACTGTCCAGTACAACACAGCTGGTGATGAAAACTTAAGTCTGCCTGACTCCAAAACCCACAGCTCTTTATTCTTCTGTCTTGCTTACCAATTTACAGAAAGAGAAAAACAAAAATCGAACATACTAAAACCACAATGTATTTGTGTTAAATATTTATTGAGTTTACCTCTAGATATTAAAGGAAACCTCTATGAAGCATAAATAATTTAACTTGAATTAATTCACTACATTAGCATAGAAATGAGTCTTTAAGAATGGATCTTGGTCAAGCAAAGACTTTATTGGGTGAAGTGAAAAAAAATCACTAGTCAGTTGGGATGTCACATTCAGGATTCCCAAATAGTCCAAAAATTTTATGAGTAGGCTAATGTCAGAGGAGGGAAAGTTCTGAAAGGAAAATGTTGGTAATCAATATGGTAAGGTTCCTGGATGCAAGACTAGAGAACAATTCTTGAGAAATGCTCAACCCTAAGAGAAAGAGCGTACAATCAACCTTCCAAATATGTGAAGAGATGCTGTCAATTCAATGGACCAGAGTCGCGGTGACTCCAGTGACTGTTGCTGCAGAATCTGGAACTAGGAATAATGGGTAGAAGTTAGAGGAGGCGCAACTTTTGACTTACTAGAGGAAAATATTTTCTGTTATCTAGAGCTATCCAACTAGGAAATGAATTTATTCATGGGGTTCTGATCCCTAACTCTGGAAATATTCAAGTACTGTTCGTTCATAAATATTAATTGAGCAACTAAAATTTGCCAAGCTCCTTTCTGGGCATTTGGGAACAACTATGAACACGACGGTCTACCAGAGGTGATATAGAAAGAGATTCTGCATTGTTGATTGTATTTAATAGTCCCTTATGTAATGCTTACTATATTCTAGGCACTGTTTGAAATCATTATACATTAATTTACTTAATACTCAAAACGACCTTAAAATGGGGAAACTGAGGCAAAAAGAGGCACCTTGCCCAAGAGTACACAGGTCGTAAGTGTCAGCACCGGGATTAAAATCCAGACGGTCTTGCTCCAGGGTCGGTGCTCTTGGCCGCTATGACTGCTGCCCCCACCTGCCCCACCAGGTGGAGCTGGGCTACCGGCCTGGTAAGGGGCTTCCACTGCTTCGCTCCCAGGAGACCCTGAGCCACCCATAAAGTGGTAAAGATGCTGAAGCCCTTTTTTTGCCAAATTCAACATGTTCCCAGTGACCAGACTTGATTAGGTTTTGTTTTCTTTCTTCATTTGGCACACACATCCACAAAACACACATGCATACCACTATTCCAGAATGTTGTTCTGTTTTTCTCATACCGTAGATATAAGGAAGTCTGAGTGTCTATAGGAGAGAAAGTTCAGAAATTGATTTTTTTAATACAGAATTTATTTTAAAGAATCTATACAAACTTAAGAATTATTTCTTCTGGGGAGGATGAGAATAGGGATAGAAAGGAGACTTACATTTTAGAGTTCTATACTATTTGCTTTTTTGTGAGCATGCTTTATTTTCTTAATTAAAAACTTACAGGAGACTTGTGTGAGTAAAAGGTTATTATAAAACAATAAGATGTCTCATCTTCTGCTCATCTAGAAATGAAAGCAAGAATTTTAAATTGTGGACAAAATGAATAAAACTGCCTCTAATTCACATAATTAGAGAATGTTAGAGCTAGTAGCAAGAAATCACCTATCACCTAACCACCTTACTTTACAGATGAGGAAACTGAGGACAGGGAAGTTTGTGAAACTTGGATAGGGTCAGAAAGTAAAATGATTACATTGAAATACCAAAAAAAAGTCATTAAAACTAGAAAGAACCACACAAACAGAAAGCTTACCACGATTGGTGCCAGAGTCAGGCCCAGTTCTAAGCTCTTCTCAGTGGCAGGTCAGTGCTTCTGCTAATTTCTCACAGTGTGTGTTCAAAGTTGTCTGCCATGGTGACTCACTTAGATATTAGTGTAAGGGGACATGGAACCCTGAGAAAATTTATTTCATATTTCTGAGTCTCACTTTCTGCATCTTTGAAATGGAAATAATAATAGTACCTGCATCATCCTGTTGTTCTGAAGATTAAAAGGGAAAAATGATGTAAAGCACATAGGCTGGAAGATAGTTAGCACACAGAAGTTATTAATATTTATTATTACTATTATTAGTTAACAAATCACTTAATATTAGCTGCAGTTAGTTTGCCACAGTAAAATTATTTTTACCTTTCAAAGTCATTCTATTTTTTAAAGTGTCCTGGTGACCTGCACACGATGGAACTGAGAACATGATGGACTTTGAAATAAGATTGATCTGAGCACAAATGCCAGCACTGCCAATTACTAATGGAGGGATCTTGAGCAAACTAAATTCCTAACATTCACTTTTCTCGGTGAAAAATATAGTGGTACTTGCCTTGTGGAGTTGGGAGGTTTCAGGGAGAAGGCACTGGAAAACATTAGTCTACTGGCATCTATTAAAACCTTCAGTAAATTACAGCAATCATAATTATTTATCATATTATTGTATGTTCTGATATGTAGTGCATGCAAACCGCATAATGTGGAGAAAGAGCCCAGAGGTCAGCGAGATTATTGCACCTAGCCAATAGGTTTGCTTAATTTTATTTCCCTAGGTTTGCTTTTCTATTTAAGTATTTGACTACAGCCACCTGTGTTCAAGTGTAGACCCAGGGAAAAGAAACCAAAGAGATAAATCAAGAATTCAGTACCCCTCCACTGGGAAAGAAGTAGGTGTAGATCCATCTAGGGGATCCAGCCTGTTTGTCGGTTGATTCCAATCCATGTGTTATAGTCAAGACAAGGAAGTGGGAAGTGACCAAGTGTCTCTTTTCCACTATTTTGTGTAAGATCAAAGTGTGAAAACATTGGATTTTGACCTTAAGGAGAGTTCCTGGGTCAACCCAAGACAGTTCTCCTGAAAGGAATCATCAAGAGGATGAGGGACATAGCGGAAGCCCAACCATGGAGACAAAAGGGGTGTGTGAGTGCATGTTGAGGGGATGGAGAAAGAACCTGTGAAGGGCTAAGGTGGCAACCACAAAGGATATGTGGGCTTTGATGTTTTCCTGATATGTGTGATCAAGGATGCCATTATCTACTTAGAGAGAGAGGATTGAGTGGACAGAAACAGATAAAATATGTGAGAGAGAAAAGCAAGAGATTAAGAGAAGAATTTCAACTCAACACTTGACTTTGAGCAGTGGTTCTCAAAGTGTGTCTCCAGACCCACAATATCAGCTTACCTGGGAACTTGATAGAAATGCAAATTCTCAGCCCCACTCCAGGCTATTGGATCAGAAACTCTTGTGGGGACTGGGCGATGCAACAATCTGTGTTTGAACAAGCCCTCCAGGCGTCTGTTGTATATAAATTTTAGAGGAAAGTTCTCATCATCCTCTCACTTTTTATTCCAATTTACAATGTCTTCTTCTTGTATCTGTATCTGAACCAAAAAGAAGGAAAGGGAGAGAGGTACAAAGGCTAGGAGACTGGGACAGACCTATTTAAGTAATTTGCAAATCTGGCATTTGCAAATTATTTATAGTAAATATACTAATTTATAGTGAAAGCTAAGGTTAACAATTTTTAATCACAGCAAAACATTTTCATGCCACGCATGAATTTCACAAAAGAGTAGACATATTAGTCCAATGGAATAAATAATAAGATTAGAACAATATAGAACAGTATTTGTTAAGTGGGGAGGAAATGGCACTTGATGGGTTGAACAATGAACTGGGAGTGAGATGTCCGAGACAGAACCTTCCCCATCACCATAGCTCCTGCCAGATCATTTCCGCCATCACTGAAGGACGTTATTTGCTAAAGCCCACTTGATCCTATGCAAACAGGACAATGCTGTATAAAGACTATTGCAGTTTTGCCATAGCCCTGATAACAGCAAACGACTAGCATTATCAGAATAATTTTGTAGTGGAAGTCAATAAAAAACAAGCAAATAAAAGACCGGGAATTTATTTTGGAAGAAAAGCCATACGCTACTGGAAGGGCACTGGAGTGAATTTTCTGCACGTCTTGCATTTCCTACCTGACAAATCTTGCCTGGCACCTTTCAGTGGTATGAAGCTGTCTTTATTCACCTTAACCAGTCGCATGCTCTTTCAGTTGTCCCAGTGCTAAGAAGATCTACTTTAAACTTTATCAATTGAGGGGCCAGCCGGTGGCGCAAGCGGTTAAGTGCGTGCGTTCCGCTGTGGCGGCCCAGGGTTCGCCAGTTCGGATCCCAGGCGTGCACTGACGCACCGCTTGGCAAGCCATGGTGTGGCGGTGTCCCATATAAATTGGAGGAAGAGGGCCAGCCTGGTGGCTTAGCGGTTAAGTGCACGCGCTCCGCTACTGGCAGCCCGGGTTCGGATTCCGGGCGCGCACCGACACACCGCTTCTCCAGCCATGCTGAGGCCACGTCCCACATACAGCAACTAGAAGGATGTGCAACTATGACATACACCTATCTACTGGGGCTTTGGGGAAGAAAAAAAGGAGGAGGATTGGCAATAGATGTTAGCTCAGAGCTGGTCTTCCTCAGCAAAAAGAGGAGGATTAGCATGGATGTCAGCTCACAGCTGATCGTCCTCACAAAAAAAAAAGAAAAAAAAAGTGGAGAAAGATGGGCATGGATGTTAGCCCACGGCAGTCTTCCTCAGCAAAAAAGAGGGTCAGCAGATGTTAGCTCAGGGCCGATCTTCCTCACAAAAAAAATAAATAAATAAACTTTATCAATTGAAAATGGGCATTTTTAACTTATTTCATGCATTAGTGAGCCTCCCATTTCATATAGTTACTAAAACCCTCGGTAAGGCACTAATGAGAAATGCCAGCATGGGCACCAAAAATTTCAAACCGGGCTACATTTACTGTGTATTCCAGAAAGCCCTATCGAATCATCAGATTCAAGGAGATCTGAAAATATAGAGTAATACTGTTGTCTTTTGGTATTATAAGACATATTGTCTCACATTCACTTTTGTGCTACTTTTAAAAATTAATCCATAAAATTTTCATGCCAGCTTCAAAGTATTAAAGTGTAGGTAATGGAATGAAGTGGCTTGAAATGAAAAAGTTAGAGATTATGCTGGTGGCACAATTAAATTTAGAGCCAAGAACTAAGAATCAAAGAAAAATATTTGGGAAAATACTTTTTGAAAGATGCTGTAA